ATTTTCAGCTTTTACTTTTAATATAAAACTACCACCTTTGTTAAAGCCTTAGCCTTTGTCCCCTTGCCATGATGGGGTTCTTTTGTTTATGTTTAGGGCTTCAACCTAAGCCCTAAACTATGAAGTTTAGTTACTCATACTTATTTCAAATACAAACTCAAAACAAAACTAGAAAGAGTTTATAGATTTTGTGAAAATGGGAGCTCAAGGTCTTCAATGGTGGAAATCTCTTCCACTTCTTGCTTTATTGCCCTTGTCTTCCTCCTTGAGCTCCCTAGCTCTAAGCTCCCAAAAATCTCTGCAAAATTGTAGAATGATAGAATGGAATTCAGATTCCAATGGCTGCCTCCTTCTTTGCTCCCTTCTCTCCTCCTTTCCAGCTTTTACTTTTAATATCACCAAATGGTATGGTAACAAGAAGAATCAAGATGACATTATGGAGGTAAAAACTGGCCCAAGACAAATCTCTAAAGCTGCTGTAACATGTAGGATCAGTTGGAAAGGCTATACTTTTCCAATGGAGCTCAAATTTGGATATGTTGTAGATAACATCCATTGGAACAAGTTTCATGAAGATCTTCACCTCATCCGAGCACCACAGCATACTGATCCAAGGCCAAGAAGTTAACCTACGAAAATGAACAAAATCAGAATTTATAACCAATAATGCACTTTTAGCTCATTTTCATTCTAACCAAGGTAAAACCTATGAAAACACAAAAAGGAAGTAAAAAGCTATAAAATGTCAAGAACTAACTCAAAATATTAGGTGAATAACATGATAAATCATGTGTAAAAATGAATCGAACAATAACCACATAAACTAATGCACCAAAACCAAAATCCATATCATACCCAAAGTCACCATAATCCTTTATAAATAATATTAATAGCACTAATAATAATAGTAATAATAATAATAATAATAAGCATTCCCGAAGTTCCCATTATCACGTATTCCATCCTAAAAAATCACTAGTTTGAATTAGACCACCCATAACTTTCAATATCCATTCTCAAATCAATTCCACATACGTATAATATACAATTCAACAAACCAAAATTCATAATCCTTATTATTCACTTTCCAAGACAACCTTTTAAAACCTGAATCAAAATCCAATGTACCCATAACCCAAACACATAGACATACATTTGAGTGTAAACATATAATCGACATTTAATTAGATCCTTACTGACACCAAACCCCTCTATCAAGCCGTAAGGGCCAAAACCGAACCGGTAGCTCGCTTTTATAACCTCATTAACCCAAATACTCATTACCAAACAAATCACTTTCCCACCAATATCACTACTACACTCAATATCACAACATCAAAACAAATCCAAGTTTTCAACAATACGCCATAACCACCATTCAAATTCCCACATATTTATCATCGGCGAACAATTCCAATAATACTATCCGGTAATATAAGGCCACAATAGAAACATACACCCAAGCCCATAAATCCTAGAAAACTTAACATGTATACACAACCTTGGAAGGGTCCTAAAGCCATTCTAGTACCTTCCCAAAGGATGAGACGGTCTCAAAAGACCTGTGGTCAACAGTTGGTCAAACTTCTCGTTTTTGGTCAACCAGGCCCATGGGGCCTCCAATTTTCAATCCAAAAGTTCCTACGGGTTCAACAAAGTTTACTAAACACGTCCTGCAAGTTTGGTTCAGATTGATCTGTTGGATCGCTCTCGATTGCACGATCAGACGGTCACCGTTTTACATAATCTTTGAATTATTGATTCGAAGTATTCGTGTAAGAATCCGATCCGAAATTAATATTTAATTATTAATTTATTCTAGTAAAAGACAATTTTAAATCGAGAATATTTTAATAGTTTAAAAGTTAACTTTTTGTTTGGGAAGGAATTTGGAGATTTCAATTCTATTGTTGCATAGAGTACGCCGAGATGAGTCCGTAGACATGTAGTGGGCTCAAATCGAAGTTGTAACGAAGAAGTTATGATCTACGGAAGCCTAGTGGCATAATTGTAAATATTTCGAAGTCAGTTTAAAAACAAAGACCACATCTCTCTCTCCTCTCACGCAGAACCAGATCTCTCTCTCTCCTCTGTTCAGGCCAGCCGCGACATCACGTGTTTCGACAGTGATTCCGGCCACGTCCGGCCGTCCCCGGCCACAATTTTGGATCCATTCTCTTCGTCTCTCTCTCTTCTACACATCTATACCAATTTTCAGCCCCAAATCTAAGGAAATTAAAGCCAAAATTCGAGCCAAAGTGAGCCCAAACCGACTGTGCAAAAATAGCGGCTATTCGTGGTCTTTTTCGGCCAATTCCGGCCGTCACAGCTCAGGTAATTACACCCAAAATACTCTCCTACCTTCCCTTTGTGTTATCCCTCGAAAACCCAACGTGAATTCACTCCAAAATCATTGATTTTGAAACTAAAATTTCTAGGTTTTCAAGAGACAGAAACCTTCGTTCGCGAGCTTTAAAGGTGGAATTGATCGTCGAGCCAAGGTATAAAGTTACTCCCCTTGATGTGCTAAATACGTAGGTATGATTATTGGCCAGCGGTTTGAAGTTTTCCGATCGCCGGAAAATTACTCAATACACCCGCCGCCGCCGGCGGCGCGTTGGCGGGGTTTCAAGGTTGGATTTTTGTCATAGAATGTTCCCCATGTCGTCCCGAGCACGACAGTATGCTTGGATTCCAATTTGGTTACCGTTTGACCGTCGATCGAATATTGCATATTAGGCGTTATCTATGTTCGGACCGTTGGATCGACTTCATTTTCAAATATGTTAATTTAGGCACTTCTAGGATCGTGTAGGAATTTGCGGATCAAGAATCGGAGTCCTGGATACTCCGATTCAATAATTCGAAGTTTAGATGAGCGATAACCGTCCGATCGTACAATCGTGAGCAATCCGACCGTTCGATTTGGACCAAACTTGCAGGGTATGTTTAGTAAAGTGTGTTGAACCTATAGGAACTCCCTGATTGGTAATTGGAGGTCGTGGACCTCACGCGGTGTCGGATTGACCATTATGGGAAATGAATCGCTTAGTGAACCTCGGGTCTTTTCAGACTATTCCACCTGTCAGAAATGTTGGAAATGGGCCTAGGAACTTTCCTAAATTTTGTACACACACTTTTGAGGCTGGGGGTCAGGGTTTTGATTAAATATCCATTGTTGAGCAATTTTATTAATTAAATATTTTTAATTGCTTAAATAGGTACTCGGGTTTCTTCGAACCCGCAGAAAGGACCCTCAAAGGGTCAAGCTAGCTCGGACACTCAGTGAGTGGACATTTGTTTTCTAAATAGTTTTAAGATATTCTTGATCTGTGATTATTAATTGCTTTTGACAAGACCCGCCCCGAAATTCCTCTGAACCCGAGACGAATCCTGTGGAATTCCTGACATCACCCCGATGTCAGACCCACTCATTGAAACTACATCCTCTTTTCCCAAAAAGATTAAGGGCACGAGACTT